ACTTCCTTGCTTGTTAGAGGGTAAAGGGGGGTGATTTTCACGCCATGATAGACCTGTATAGTACCATCCTACTTCGTTTCTTACCAGCTGCTCTTAAACTCGCGTTAGACCGCTAGTTGATCGTGCTCTGAAGAATCTGCTAAACCTAGGACATCCAGACGACAAAGTTCTTCATAATCAGTTTGACTTGTTTGAGTTAAAATCATGCGATTACGGTCGAATTCTTGTCCCGGCGACATTATGAACCACCCCAGTTTTGTTTTCTCAGCTACTGGTTCTCCATCTCTGCCAATGTGCGGTTTTGGTGCGGTTTTGATTCGTGCATGTTCGCCACTCCCTAGTAACACGTGCACGGGAAGTTCTTCCTTTGAGTCTAAATCTTCAATCTTGACTCCTCTTAAATGACTGTAGCTGTCGATTAACTGTTGATAGTGGGGATTATCAACAGTTAACAGTTCTCCTTTGTGAACCTTAGTAAGTTTAACACTCATGCTGAAATCCCCGTCCAATGATTCGACTAGTGTATCGTACATTTCCAGCTTTGTTACTTGGGAACTTATAAGGATATCCACTCGTCTTGTTTTCGTCTCACACGGCTTCTTCTTGAGCAGATCTATTAGCTTCCCTGAAGCGTAAGAACTTCCGGCCCCAGTATCGATTAACTCACGACAACTTATCCCGTCAACTTTGATTGGGATTATCGGCAATGTTCCTTCGTTACTTCCCCTTGCGGTCATCAGGGTATTTTAATCTTTCCTTCCACGTTTGGGTGTAAGGTTGCGGTCGCATATTGACGTGTGATGTCGTTTTTTGCAATGCTGACACGTGGCTTTGCTAAAACATTCCGCGGCCCGATGGTTAGGTGTGGCACAATTAAAGCACAAATTCTTCTATGCTAGTGTTGCTCTCCTTTCTTCGATTTAGTAATCTTTTGACAGTTCGATGGCTTGTGACTCACAACCCACATTAAACGCATTCTTTGGGATTGAAATCTTTTCCACGCGCTTGGTAGAGTTTGCGTGATCGATCCCACTTCTGATTTCGCCGTTCACCCGAGTCTCTCTCATTTGATTCGTATCGACAGGATTTCTTCTTGTCCACAAACGGATGGCCTCGCTGAGTTTCGCGAAATCCCATTTCTCCCATTCCGGGTCTGTACGCACAAGGTCCCCACGAATCCCAGGTAATTTTTCAAGGGTCATCAAAGTAGCTCCGTTTACTTGCTCTAGCTTGTTTAGCGTTTGTAAAGCTTGCACACAATAGGTTAGTTGCTCGCTGAAATCGCTTATAGCTTTGGGATCTGTGCCCGTCAGGGTAGGGAGTTCCAGTATCTCCTTTGTGTAAGCTTTGATTATTTCCGAGTCCTTGCCGAACTTCTCCTTCAATATGCTCTTCGCGCGGTTATAACCCTCTGCAGTGGAAGTTAAGGCTTCGATCGTCCGGCTAACCTGCGGGGTGACCAACTCTCGTAAGAAAGTGAATTTGGTGATCGGTGCGACACTTGTCTTGTCAATATTCTCCGAAAATTGTCCCCAAAATCGTGGCCAATCCATATGGGAACCATCGAATTTTGTAATCACAAATTTTGGTAGTTTTGCTTGTACACCACAAGAAGATAAACCTTGACCGGCTCCTTCGTTTTGGCTTTTCGTCTTGGCTAGTTGGTCCGCTTTTAGTTGCAGCTTCATCTTATGGATTTCTTCTTCGAATTGCAGCTCTTCCTTCTTCGCGTTTATCTCTGCTTCTTTTTCGCGATCGCATACCCATTTACGTATCCTCCCGATTTCGACGTTCTCTGCGTGTAGTGTAGAGTCTACATCGTCGTTCCAAGTTTGAATTGCATCGCTGTCTACTTTCGATTCAATTTTCGTCGCTTCGACCTCAAGTCTCAAATGATTCACAGTGTCCGAGATTGCCTTTAAAGTTTTTAGATGTCGCTCAATGGCCTCTGAGTTTTGGCCCTCAATGACGACGTTAGTTTTCGTCACGTTGATGTCCAATTGTGTAAGATTGGTTTCCAGATTGCTCTCTACAGTTGTCATTGTTTCCTCCCTCGACGAAAATTCAGGACAAAGTTATACTCAGAACAGATTCAGCAGTTTGACTGTCCAAATGTCTCGTCGGAGGTGCCAGGTTTGGAGATTTGTTCGCCTCCAAGAACGGTGTTCTCCAACAAAAGTGACGATAAAGTAGATTTCCACGTTTTATTCCAATATAAACCACGATCTCTTAGTTTTTCAACAGACACTTTCGCTTCCACTCAGGTCTCTCTCTCTCTCAATTGTCCTTTTTTTCTTTTTAACCCGCATCCGATTAGTTACACAAGGATTGATTTAAGAAAAGAACCGCGTAAGTGTTCGTGATTGGTTCGATTAATCACTAGGTTTTTCTCCGCACATGTCTGCGGAAATAACTAATAGAAAAACAGCTTAATGATATCACGCAAAATAACAGCGGTCAATTACTCTCATTTTTCAGTCAGCTGTTGTCAAGATAACATAACTCTTAGACAATGCAAAGTTTACCGACAGGCTTTTCGAACGTTCATACCTCATCAGAACGAATACGAGCAGTATAACGAAAGCAAATGTGAGAAAACACTAGCAAATCTGGTTATTTGGAAGTAATGCAAATTTTGTGCAAAAGAAAATATTTGAACATGTTACATGAGTAAAACGCACGCGAAAGTTTTTGGATGTAGTTTGGGTAAACGTTGGAAAACAGTGACGCATACATATAGATTTGCAACATATTTGCTTAGATTTTTGCAGAAAGCAACCATTATTTTTCCACAGAGAGCAAATCTGGAGTAAATGTATACCGGATTTGTTGATTTGCGGAGGTACCCAATACAAAGCAAATGTAAATTAGATTTCAGGTTTACGTCGTATTTGCCCGCCATTTCAACGGGAATAAACATCTGTATTTGCATTATAATTACTTCTGGTGATAATTTAGGTCAAATTTAGAGGGCTAAATCTGCATCATGTTTACTTCTGTTGCAAACCTGTTTAAATCCGTTTTTTCGTGCAGTGTCCGCACTTACAATGTGAGTGAATAAATATTCTGCTAAGGACTCAGTCTATTTGGTTTTTGCTAGATCGTAACGCTCTTCGCTTTTCATTACACCTGGCCGAATCTGTTGTAAGGGAAATCCAGAAATTCAAGCAAAGTGTGATTGTTCTTTTTTTTATCTTCTTCTTGTAGCGAGTCTTAGATTTAGTTTAGTGTATTTGTGTGTTCAGTTTGTATTTTCTGCGACAGCCCTTCATTTCTTGGTAAGATGAATAAGTAGATTAATCGCTCTGTGGTCTAAAGGCGTTCATACCATTCCGTCCTTGCATTTCTTTTGTGAGAACAACCCTGAACCTTGACCAGCTTTTTTTTCGTCCATTGGCAAATTAAGACCTCTTATTCTATATCGATCATGGGATCCCATATACGTCTGAAAGTAATTGCAGTTGTCAATGAAGGCGCGAAAGTCCTGGACATATGTACGACATTAATGGGCTGGCCTGACACAGCTTCTGATGGCTCACCTCTTTTGGCGGTACCAATGTTTCCCTTCGGAAGAGTGTTGTGTAACACTTCAACTTACTGCATGTTAGCCCTCTGAATGAGTTGCGTGAATTATGCTCTGGGTGGTGAATTTCCTTTACTCTATAGCAAGGTGCAAAGAAAGTCATTTTTACAGCTTGCCATTCTGGCAAGCTGAAGCTAGCATTTACTAGCCCAAACGTCATTTCAACTAGCCCCCCCAAATTTTTTTGATGAGCAGAATCGATTTCACAGTTCTTCTGTAAGTTGAATTCCTTAAAATACTTTACTTGCCCGTCGGGCAAGTTAAGAACAGAATTCACTAGCCCGATAGCAAAATCCACTACCCCCGCCCGCCGGCTATCTGACACTACCTTCTTTGCACGCTGCCGTAGACTCGTACAAGATATTTTTACATGAGCATTGTTTTGGCTTCCTAGAGTTAATCTTTCCCTTAAAAGCAAGCTTCCCTATCATACTATTTCGTTTTCTTGAAACAAACGTTTGCTGGAACCAAAGTTCTTATGCGACGAATGTTCCGTTAACCCTTATAATTTATTTTTGCGAAGGTAACAACACTCTTCCTTGAATGAAGACGCATTTCCCTCTTATCAAATTCATAGGCATTGGAGCTTAACCTGATCAAAAACTCTGCATTGTTGTGCATCGTAAATAATTAGTAAAACTATCCTCCTCTCATCTCCAATTCACTTTTAACAAAAAGAAAACGAAAAGCTTCAAAAAAGTGAAACTTGTATATTTGAGGATGTTGATACGTTAACGAAAATTAATGTACAGGTAACCGTAAAAGCCAAAGCATTATAGGAAGGATATTTGAAAACGTACCGAGCGAAAATTGAAGTCTTTTGACCGGTCAGAAAAAGACCAAAAGCCGAAGGCAAAATGAGCCTGAAAATCCTCCTAGAAAAGAAAGAGGAAAGGGGAAATAGAAAGAGCGAAGGGGAAAGAAAGTATGAGAAGAGAAAAAAGCAATGGCTGCACTCCTAGTTTTTTTGCTGACTTTTTTGGATATTTTTTTTTTTAAGAAAAAGACTGTTTGTTTTTAATGTTTTTATCACCGAAAACTAGTTAGCAGTTATTCTTTCTTCTTTCACTTTTCCATGAAAGTAACAAGCACATTTTGTGCATTTTTTGATGGCGTTGAAAACAATTTTGTTGCAATTAGTTTGATTTTGAGCCTCAAAAATGCCTAGATTGACTGGACTATGAACAAAATTCTACAGCACTTAATGATGTCTTCATTACGTTACTATGACAACTTTGTTTTCAATATAATGCCGATCACGAAATAATTTCTTCTTTATTGGATACAGCTGTGATGACCTTTTTCCGTTATCTTTGTTAATCTTGAGTTAATGATCAAACTTGCGTGGTATTGATCCAGAAAAATTCAGTCTAGGCCAGGCACCTTAAAAGTCAGCATTAAGCACACAATTGTCGTGTCACCTACCCTTGGTTTCACAAAGGTATTGACGACCATGGGAACATGGCGAATCATTCCATTTTCCAGCAGGGGGAAACATGTACGTGCAATCTTCATTTCCTCCATGGTCATTGGGTTCTCTATTACTCCAGTGAGTGTACGTCGTTCTTGATCCATCAACCCACATCCAGCGTGAATTGTCATTGGGATCCCTGTGCAAACCAATCCATACATCTTGCGATATTTTCGACGCGAGTGCTTGTTGTTCGGCTTGTGATGTCAATATGGCAAGCTTAGAACCCATAGCTTCACAGGCAGATTTTGCAGCGTTCCAGTTCGTGCTCCCCGACGAGACTTTATAGCATGAACCTTTTAGACGAATCCAGTTATTAGGACATATCCCTGCAAGATTGAAAAGTCACACGTGCACATGGCGAAGAGTGAATTTACCTTATCACTTCCTTTCACGATGAATTAAACAGATTACAAGTTGCTATGTGTCACTTGAATCACTTGAAGACTCCGGGGGGGGGGGGTAGCTATCTATAGGCCAGTAAGCCCGCGCCCATCTGAAAAAAGTGGAATAAAAAAAAAAAGTAAAAAAAAATAAAAAGGCAAAGGGGAGGTGAATAATTTTTTTATTTTGCTGTTCCAATAAGGGAAATTATAACGGGGGGGGGGGGGTAGCTATCTATAGGCCAGTAAGCACGCGCCTATCTGAAAAATGTCGAATATAAAACAAAAGTAACATAGAGTAAAAAGGCAATGGGGAGGTCAATAATTTCTTTATTCTGCTGTTCCAATATGGGAAATTCTAATATTCATCTTTTCAGATGATTTGTTCAAACAAAATGCGGTGATTTCCCCGTATGAATCACGCGAAATAGCCTGAACTGCTGCCTGAAGAATACAGTGTTATGCCCAAAAGATATGATTATCGATTAAAAAAGGAAATGTTATCAAATGAAAATGATTAACTACAATCGATTGGGAAGAAACGCTGCATACCGTCGCTCTGGAAAATTTTCTACGCCGCTGGACAGATCTGCATGGATATGGGTCAAAAACTTCCATGGCTAACCTGCCGCCACCCAGCAGGGCACTTTGCCGGGCAAATAGAGACTAAGGCAAATATTCCTTTTAAAAATAACGTTAATGTACTGCCTTTTATTATTCTGACCTCTAAAATTTGCCCGAAAATGAGCCTTGAGATAAACTTTTCTTTTTGCACCTATTGCTTCCTGGTGTGTCGAATTGTGGTTCAGTTATTTGTAGCTAATTTGATAAAATCGTCTTACCTTAAAAGTTACCTCTTAGCGAAAACAATAAAAACCCCGCCAGGAATAGCAATAACCGGTGATAAAAAGCTATAGACGCGAAAACAAAGCACTCAAGCAGAGAGAAACCGTCTACTACAAAGGTACTTGATTAAAAAACTAGGAAAACCCTTACGAATAAAAGCTTCCTTCCTCTCAAAAATAATATCATTATCTTTAAGACTGTATTAAAAAATGTAGCTGGTTTCATCTTGATATTATAAACAACAAGCTTTACTTCCTGTTCTAATGTATCACGTGTATCATGTGACATAAGCATGTCGAGGAAACTTTAGACAACCTTTTGCTTTATAACTATCCGCGCGCGTCTATTTCAATGGAACTGGCTATTTTCAATAAAGCAATAAGAAATAAAATGCTGCATGGGCTTTTCTCGCTTGTTAGAAAAAACCGAAATCTATCACCAAAAAGAATAACCGAAACTATCAGCTTTGCAAGTGCAAAAAAAAAAGCCCAAATATTTAGTTCTTATTAACCGAGTGGGGGGTCTGTATGGGAGAATCTTGACCGAGGTCGCCAGTACAGACCTCACTGCGTTCGGTCTGCACCAGCGACCGAGGTCAAGAGTCTCCCATACAGACCGACCTAGCTCGGTTAATAAGATGTTTATTATATGGCCAAACAAGAAAGCAAAGGAACAAAAACATAAATAATTTTGTTTGCTTCCCTGGGCAGGCTCAAGCATTTAGCTGGCTTTCTTCTGTCACTGGTCCCCAGTCCAAACGGGACAAAAATAACTGTTCAAAGTCCAGCTTTGTACAAACCTCGTCAATGAATGAAGACAAAATTTTTCATACAGGCTCAATGAAAAAGCTTGTGGTTGAAACAACAATTTATGAAAAGTGACCAAAAGTGCAACTGCAATGTAAGTAATGCCTGATTGTGCCTCGATCGCTCAGCGATCAGTTCTCATTCAGCTTTGCGAGGCCTCAAGATTCAAAATGTTTACTGCAAATGAACAAAAGACGTCACCAGTGGCAAACCGTTGAACCACAACAGAAACATAAACATTAAATCCAATTAGTCGCTGGCCAATACCTTCGTATGTATCTGTTTTTATAAAACTTACTTGGGGTCTTACACTGAGCTGTCTGGCCATTTGAATTGGTCCATTATTCTCACTTGATTTGGTCCCATATAGGAACAAAAGGAGTACTCATTCCATCTTAAAACAATTTTTTCTATATGGAGTCCTCTAAAGCAAATACCGTGGGGACAGAAAAAAATTCTCCTTCCTTACGTATATACGGCTCGTAAGACCTTGCAATTCTTCCAAGAGTGTTCAGGATTACTTTTTTTCCACAAAATGGAAAGGATGGAATAAACCATCCATTACTACTTGAGTTACGCTATCTAAGGATCAAACCAAAGATACAGGGCCACAAGGTAAAAAATGATACCATATTAAAGGCTCAAGATCCTCAAGAACCATACCCTATCAGGTGGTACTTGCCTATCTAGCCCATCCATGTATGTCTTACCTATCTAGCCCATCCATATATTGCTTGCCACGTGTCACGTGGCAAGCAAACATGGATTTCGGCGACGAATGCCAGGTCATGAATTTTCTGTTGTTAAATGTTGCTTTCGTTATTTAAATATTTTTAAATTTAAACATGATTCATATCTTTTTGGTGATATGTTACAAGAAGTTTCATGTCTTTCATAAAAGCGATTCTAGTTGGTCTCGTGATTAATCAAGGCAGAAAAATTTATAACGGAAGACATGCATGTTTGACCAAAGAAAATATTACGGAGATGTTACTTGCTAGCATACGTCATCATCTTTGTTTATGAAGTACCATGCATATTTTGGCATTATATTAATGTTGACGAAGTAAGTCGAATCACTGTCAAAAAATTATTACAAATTGCGACAGCTTAGTTTATTACAAAGTGCGATGGACTGTTATTACAAATTGCGACAGCTTTTTTATTACAAAGTGCGACACGGTTTATTACAAATTTTGACAGGTATTACAAAGTGCAAAGGATTTATTACCAATTGCGACAGGCATTACAAAAGTGCGATGATTATTACAAATTGCGACAGTACACCATTGTTTGCGAAAGGATTTTTTAACTGCGATTTGATTTGCAATGTTTGAAAATTCTGTAAAGATCAAACTTTTGCTCAAAACCGGAACCACATTGAACTTAAATGGTCTACTTACTGTATTTTANCAAATTGCGACAGCTTAGTTTATTACAAAGTGCGATGGACTGTTATTACAAATTGCGACAGCTTTTTTATTACAAAGTGCGACACGGTTTATTACAAATTTTGACAGGTATTACAAAGTGCAAAGGATTTATTACCAATTGCGACAGGCATTACAAAAGTGCGATGATTATTACAAATTGCGACAGTACACCATTGTTTGCGAAAGGATTTTTTAACTGCGATTTGATTTGCAATGTTTGAAAATTCTGTAAAGATCAAACTTTTGCTCAAAACCGGAACCACATTGAACTTAAATGGTCTACTTACTGTATTTTAATCTTGGTGAATAGTGGCTTTAGGAATATTAACCTCGCCGCGAATATTCCGCTTCTATTCACCTCGTGTTCAAGAATATTAAAGTGCTTAATTGTTAATTGTCCAATGTGAAGCACGGTACAAAATGTCAGTCAAAGCAGGAAAAGGTGTTTTCCACATGATTCCAGGTCATGTCCTTGAGGAAAATACTCGAAACCTTTCTACGTTATTTTGCTTCCTCTTTCGACAGAAAATATATCCACACGGCCGCTTCTACGGTCGTCTTTGTAGGAACCGGCATATTGTGTTCAACGCTTATCAGGGCCGCAAAGCTACTTGTCCTCTTTCCAGCTGTTCCAACAAAAACGATGGTCCACGTTGTCGCTTAAACAGTATTTCTACCGTTTCTCGTAAAGGATCCGTTTGTGTAGAAGTTTTAACCAGTTTCTATGGTAGGTTCTTCGTTGAAGAAGGACAATTTATCAAGTACACACCCTCCACATCGTCCCTCCACTTAGGCAGCCATTATTTCATTTATTGACCCCGCCTCGCTTTGGCGCGCTGAATCTTCCGGAAGACAACCAGTTTACCGGAAACTGTTTCCGCATGGTCCGCATAGTTCTAGAAATAATTTTTTTGAAATAAAGATATCCCAAAGGCGTGAGTGGGAGACTCCCTCTCTGTCCTATTGTAGCTGTTGCATGTGGCTAAGAGTTTGACCGGTTTCAAACTTTGCGCGTCAACTCCCAACAACAAGCAACAACATGCGACAGGTTATTAAAACGAACGTAACAGCTAACATCCAACAATGTTGGGAAATGTCCGCCAACAATGTTGCGTCCGTTTGCACGGGGCTTTAAAATCAAACTAGACTGGAAGCATTTTTTAAACATTTTTTGTGTTACAAAATTTACGAATGTCTCTGAAAAGAGTTCACACAGGCTACGAAAATAATGTGACTTACCATGACAGGATAGTAATAATAAGTGATCCTATAGCTGCTCCCGGTGCAGTTGTCCCTTTTCGTAAACGGTCACTGCCATTTTTTATTGAGAGTGTTTCTATTCAAAAGAATGAAAATAGCAACGAAAGGTCGAACCCGGACCTCGAACCGGGACCTTTCATATCCCTATCTCTCTTCTTACCACTACACTACCATCTCGACCCGTAAAAAATCCGAAAAATGTAAGTACATAAACTACCAAACTGCTTTTTTCTTAACTGATACATCAGTAACAGGTGACCTTAGCTCTTTCCATAACTTTTTACGCAGGTGAATTGAACTTGGGCATCAACGACGTACTTTCTAAGACTATTTAAAAAACTATTCAAAATATTATTTTTCTTATTGTAACTTAATCCAGGGAATATATTACATCTATCATGACTAAAGGCTTGGTTACAGATGGTTGCATCGGCCGTTAAAAAGGGCAAAGGCCGTTTATGAAAGGGAAATTGTGGCGCCTCCGCTCTGTATGTTGTCGGTCAATTGTACTCTCAGTCTTAGTGTAGTTCTTTGAAATATACCGGGTTCATATTAAAAACTTTTACACATATTCCATACAATAGGTGAGATAAAAACAGGAAACGTAAGGCTTTATGTACGGTCAGTTATTATACCATGACAGCCAATACAAACAGGATAAGAATCCAAATCATGACATTATTATGACTCACAACTTCTAAGTTCATCGAGGACACAACAGGCCGTGACCAAATTTAAACTACATGTAAAGACGAAAAAGACTTCTGTAATCCTCCTGTGGACAAAAAGGACGATAAAGACATCTAAAACAAAAGCTGGCCAAAAACTAACATCGCTGTGTCGTAGCTCTCTTTAACTACGAAATTCCGCAGAGCTTGAGCATTTTTAACCCCGGACGCACAAGAAACTAAATATTCCATTAGCGTATAAAAAGGGTAATAGGTTAGAATCTCTATGGAATTTCAAGCTATTGTAAAAGTTTTTTGATGTTAAATGCCATATAGTGAATAGTGAACGGATGAGTTCTACAGGGTGATATAATATAACCTTCAAATGATGACATCCATCGAGCATTATTTTTGCGTATTCTTCCATTCGTTCCGTTCATTTTTAATTTAGTAATTCGGCTTTTTCGTTCACGCATCGACTTGAACTCATTGGCTATTTTCTCGAGTTCTATAATTTTAAACAATTAGAGTGTAAAAAGGAAGTCAGTAGACAACTCACGGCTTTTTCCTTTTTCCTCGTGCCAAAATGATCAACAGAAGCATAGCTCCTATGTGCCATTCATGACATACCAAGTACTATTCAGTCTAACAAAACAATTCACGCCGCAACCCTTGACTTTTCAAGAGCATTTGACAAAGTTCCTTATTGTCATCTTTTGACGAAACTTGATTATTACGGAATTCGTGGCTCACCACTTGACTGGTTCGAATCGTTTCTAACACATGATACCCAATCAGTAGTAATTGAGGGGGCATCATTTGCTCCTGTAGTCACGACATCCGGTGTTCCCCAGCGAACGGTCTTAGGACTGTTACTGTTCTTAATGTATATAAATGATTTACCTAATGGTCTTAACTCTACCGTTAGACTTTGTGCAGATGATGCATTGTCATATGGAGCAATCTGTTTTGATGAAGATTCAGCTGATCCTCAGAATGATCTTTGTAGATCAGAAGCTTGGTAACAAAAGAAGAAGATGGAATTCAATCCTTCAAAGTGTAAGATCTTGTGCTCTACAACCAAAGAGATCTACCAAAGCGGGAATACGTATTCTGTGGAGAATTTTAGAAGAAGTGGATTCTCACCCTTATCTTAGCCTGCGTAGCAAGCGTTTCCGTTTGGTTTCTGAGCAAGGAAAAACAGAGGAACGGGATTCTCGGTTTTGGCCGCGCGAGAAATGAAACAAGAGCCAAAAAATGAAAGTGGGGGAAGGTAGGGGGGAAGGAAGGAAACGCTTGCAGACAAGCCCCTCGATTTTGAAAACCTGCGTTCGCCAGCGAACGCAGCGCCTGATTGGCTCGGCTAGTCGAACAATGTTGACATGTGTCGATCAAAGTTTTGTTTCATACTGAAAGGACGGTATGGTACGTGACACGTATATTAATTTTCAGTGGTTGTTGTTTATTCTGGTCGGCTCTAATGCAAGAACATTTTCTTTGACCTCTTTTTAAACGTAAGACTCTTCTTGCGACTAAATAAGGGTTTCAGGTCGTTTAATTTATTCTCCAAAGTACCTCCTGGACCTGAATAACTAAAAGCGATTTTCTTTTGTCCGCGAATGCGATGGTTTCTTGCAATGTGTCATGCTGGGCCCAGCTTGTAAGTGTGTTTTTGAGGGATGTTGAATTCTCTCAGATGGTGATTTACAGACTGTTCTGTTAGACGGATTAAAAAGACAAATGTCCAAAGCCTGTATTGATCGTTCAGATTCATTGATATTTCAACATAAACGCCGTCCACGTGTTACAAAATACAAAAAAATATATTTTGGGTTCACATACGCGTCCTCTGAAGTTCATTTTCGCTGCACTGAAAGCCAAACATTTTATTGGTCAATTATGACAGCTGATGACAGCATCAAATGTCGGTGCGCGAACTCAGGCATGACAGGCCAAGTGGGCGGTTTTCAAAATCCCGGGGTTTGTCTGCAAGTGTTTCCTTCCTTTCTTTCCCACCCCCTCCCCGCTCTTTTACTTACGCCATTTTTCACGCGGTCTTTGACTTTCGTTCCTCGTTGCGCTTGCTCCTCAACCGCACGGAAACGCTTGCTTCACAGGCTACCCTTATCTGGAAGTAGCGCTTGATAACAAAATGAGGTGGTCCCAACATATCGAGCTAATCTCATCTAGGGCAAATAATGTCTTAAGACTTATTAAACGCGATCTGTGGAACTGTCCAAAGTCAGTGAAAGAAACCGCGTACACGACACTTGTGAGACCAAAGCTCCAGTATGCCCGCCTGTTATGCAAGGGACCCACACTACTAGGAGAAAAGCCGCTGTAGAAAGGGGACAATGAAAAACAGCTCGCTTTGTCACGGGAAATTACGATCGAACAGCGAGCGTGACGGGAATGCTGCAAGATTTAAGTGGGAGACACTTAAAACAATAAGAAGATATGCAAGGCTGTCCGTTATGTATAAGATGTGCTATGGTTTCCTAGATAGGAAATGGGAACACTATTTGATTCCAAACAGAGAAAGGAGAACACCAGGAAGCCATGATTTTAAGTTTATTGTACCGAAAGGACACAAGGATACTTTTAGATTATCTTTCTCTCCCAGGCCCTGGTTGTTCGAACTCTGGATAGCGCTATCCACCGGATAAATCACTATCCAGTGGATAACACAATTGGTTTTCGTAATAATTGTCCACTGCGTAGCTATTTATCCGGTTGATAGCGCTGATGTTCAACTTTTGGACAAGTGGGGCCAGGACAATAAGTGAACAGAACGAACTCCCGAAAGAAACGGTTACCAGTCAATCTCTCTCTATTTTTAAAAGTAAACTCTTTCAGGTTATCTTTTTTATTAGCGGTTTGCATTAGTTTTATCTCTACTTTTAGCTTTTATTATTATCTTGTATTTTTTAGTGTTTTAGAGTTGGCGTGATGTCCCCTGGATGTTGCCCACAAAACAATGTTTACACTTAGATTTAGATATGCTGTTTGTCCCAATGATTTATTAGTTATGGGAGTCCATCACACTTTTTTAGATAAGAAGATATTTTAATTTTAAGAATATCAATGCTAAATTTAAAGAATATGATAAGAATAAACCCAAGGCTGAGATTTTGAAAGGGATATTATTTTGTGCAATGAAAATCTGCAGTGGAAATACAATGCAACTATATGTTTTTGACTTATTCGTAACATTGTTATTATTTTTGTTTTTTTTTGTTCTTTATGACAACACTAGACTCCAAAACGAAAAAAATGCTTTAACTGCAATTTATACCCCCAAAAGAATCTAAAAGGGGAAAGTCGAAAGATATAATTTAAGAACGTTGTAAGAATATTTTCAGCCTAAAATCTGCAGAAAATAATGAATATTCAGCCAGGGCCGGAAAAATGAATGAATGAATGAATGAATGAATGAATGAATGAATGAATGAATGAATGAATGAATGAATGAATGAATGAATGAATGAATGAATGAATGAATGAATGAATGAATGAATGAATGAATGAATGAATGAATGAATGAATGAATGAATGAATGAATGAATGAATGAATGAATGAATGAATGAATGAATTAATTAATTAATTAATTAATTAATTAATGAAGGTTCGTGGATGAGAGGACAACAGACGTGCCCTCTTTACAATTCAAAGTAGACAGACTGTAAATTATAGTAGTTGCTAAAAAAATATATCAACGTGTCCAAACTGTTCATCAGTAGGATGCCTAAAATGCGTGCAATTCCACAATTGGTTTCGGCTCCATTAAATCCTATACCAATTGCAGAGCATTTTACAATTTTTCTTTACAATACATTTTCAACATGTGACCAGTAAGCTTGGACGTCAGCATCCAAAGGCGCCTCTGGCAACCGCTCTCAGTCCATTTATGAGCTTACCGTACCCACCCACCTCATGATGTGAATGATTTGACCTGTGAAGGTTGACCACACCACCGGGGACTACGTCCCCTACTCTTTTCGAACAGTAGTGTGGGTTCTTTTACGTCCCACAAGAACAACATTCTTATATTAAAAAAAGAGTGTAAATGGCCGAATTTATACTTAGACAGATTATCTGTCTATAACTCGTCTCAAGTATAAATTCGGCCAATGTATACAAAGTACTAGGAGTCCGTCGGGACTGCATCACAAGAATGACCATTAATCATCTGTCACTGCCCAAACAGGCGTACTATTTCATTTTCTGGGTTATAGTCTTGATATACTCCTTAGCACTCTTTTTCTGGAAATATAGTTAAAGTAATGCATTTAAATGTAGTCTTGAAAGCAAATTTGTTTCAAAAACAAAGAAAAACCTGCTAAAATTTTTCTATCAAATAGCTTTCAACCTCCTAACGCTATTTTGGTTTTATTCCTAAACTATAATAGAAATACCTCAAATTGTTGTAAAAATAGTTTTTCAATCGTTTAAATAGTTTTAAACTATTCTCAAAAAGTTTTAAAAAACAGTTGATTTAGTGCGGGTAAACCAATGTGCAACACTGAGCAGATTAATCATTTTATAAAGAATATTACTTTCTTGAGAAAGTCGCTAAATCGTTTTTGACCTTAACGAATGCTTGCACTACAATACGTTTGCATTGAGCAAGATTTATTTACAAACAGGAACTCTCCAAGCAACGTCATGCCACCACTCTCCAAACCATAAAACAAAATCAAGTTGAGCACATCGAGTGTTGAAATGCATGAAATTAGCGCCCAGACCTCACCTGGTTAGTCACAAATTCACTTATTTCACATAGACCATATGCACGCACGCCTATGGGCAGAGTGCTCAATGGAAGGATAAGAGCGTTGAGTTCTAGTCGATCTGATATCAACGTAAGATCCGACTTGGCATTTTATTACTTATTAGTTTCTTACCGCACAGTATGTGCGGCATTCAGATAAAATTGCCAAATGAAATGTTCGTCATAACATACGCATATAGTGCACACGCGCGCGCAGAATTTGAATCAGAAACTATTAAGTGACAACAGAAGATGTTCAGCTACTAAGAAGCAATTTTCGCGCGTGCCTGTAGGAAGTTACAAGCTCATTTCGCTAGCTGAGGCTCGCCAGATCGGGTCTACAAATGATAAAATATTATTATTACGCGCTACAAAAAATTTTCTTTAGGAACACGGTTAAGACCAGTTATAGTTGCATGCAAATCTAACGCAAATAATTAATGGTCGCAATGGCGAAATCCACCCTACGGAAAACAAACGCCACACCATCGAAAGCATGCAACTGCTGTCAACCAACTCATTGCCCTATGGACGGTAATTTCTTAAAATCGTCCGTGGTCTACTAAGAAACAGTGACAGCGGAGGACAACAGACCAGCCGAGACCTATGTAGGCCTTACTGAGAACTCTTTTAAGACCACACACGCGAGCCATAAGTCATCTTTCAGAGACCCAAACAAGAGACTCAGTACATAACTTAGCAGACATGATATCTGGCATTTCAAAGACGCTAAGATATAATTTTATATGACTTGGAAGATTTTAAAGCAAGCAGGGCCTTTCAATCCCGCTTCAACCGCAGTAATTTGTGCCCCTGTGGGAACAAATGCTGGGCCAGACCTAACTGTGGGTGGGTGGCTGTACGCTTTGTCTGTCAAAAGTAAGAGGTAGGGAGGGTAGATTTTGTCACTTTGAACAGAGTTTCAAGTCAAAAAGCACTGCTAAGTCAAGGAACTTTCCCTGTGTGCTAGCCCAGCCAATTCAATGCTCTGACTTATAATCATAATGCTACTTGCAGAGCTTGGGGGGATTAATTGACTAGTCATAAGTGTCATGGGAGGGGAGGGGGAGTTCTTGCTTCTTGGACCTACAATTGGTGACAAAATTGTTCAGACATTGTATTCAAATAGCGT